ACACACACACACACACACACACACACACACACACACACACACAATGGAGCATTACTCAGCAATCAAAAAGAATGAAATCTTGCCATTTGCAACTACCATGGATGGAACTGGAGGGTATTATGCTAAGCGAAATTAGTCAGTCAGAGAAAGACAAATATCATATGACTTAACTCATATGAGGACTTTAAGACACAGACCAGATGAACACAAGGGAAGGGAAGCAAAAATAATATAAAAACAGGGAGGGGGACAAAACATGAGACTCTTAAATATGGAGAACAAACAGAGGGTTACTGGAGGGATTGTATGTGGTGGGAAGGGCTAAACGGGTAAGAGGCATTAAGGAATCTACCCCTGAAATCATTATTGCACGATATGCTAACTTGGATGTAAATTTTAAAAAATAATAAAAAATGAAATGAAATAAAATAAAAAGAAATTGGTTTTTAGTTAAGATACCTTAACTGTTGTTGCTATTTACACAAGAATCTAAGCTCATGTAGGGCTGGAACTGTTATGAGTCTTGCCTGATGCCCCTAATGAACTGACAGGATCACAGTAATAATTCCTATTAATGTCTTAATCCAAATTAGTGCTTTGCATTTCTTTCAACTTCGCATTTCTCAAGGATACAAATTTTATTACCTGACAATGGGGCAGCCAGTTATTCTGGGCACAATTACATGTTTCCCCTAAAAATGTTTCAATATACTTATGCAAATATTTTACTTCGTACTCTACAGACTGTAGTCTAGGCGACTAGTTTTTTAGTAACCTGGTTTGGATCCATTAAGCAAGGAGATTTAAAAATCCTTTTCTGCCTATCACGATTACATTCAAAACATCACGACACTGCTTTTCTCCAATGCGGGTTGCTGGATGATGCCAGTGACAGGTCGACCCCTGAGACACTGGCAGCCGGCCTGCATGTCGCAGCCGCTCCACGTTCACAGCCCTCTAAAGCCAGGGCAGGGAACCCACGAGGAGGGAGATTCGTCCCCGCGACTCAATACGTCTGAGCGGAGCCAAGCGGCCCAGCTCAGAGGAGCGCCCCAGAGACTGCTGTCAGGCCAGACGCGCATCACGTGAGGCTCCCAGTTCCGGGATCAAAGACGCGCGCCGCACGTGGGCTGGGCGCCTGCCTGGGACCCCCAGCATCCGCGCATCCCCTGCCCAGCAGCCCACCCGGCCTCCACTCGGAAAAGTAAGCCTGGAGCCAGCGCGTCGCGGACCCCACTGCCCCCTGGGTGTCTTGTCCCAGAACCCCGAGTCCCGGGCCAGCCCTGCGCAGGAAGCGCCTCCTCCGGCCGCGGTCGCACCGGGTAAGGGTGGCTTCCCTCCGCAGTCTCCGCCCAGCGCGCCCAGCAAGGGAAGAAAGGGGTTCCGGGGCCAGCCTCCCGCCACTTCCGTGCACTCACGTCCTCCATTCTGCCCCCAGCCGCCATTTCCCGAAGCCCGAGGCCGAAGTCCGGGCCAGCCGGCCTCTCCACCTGCGCCGCGCGCCGCCGGCCCAGGAAAATTGCCACCTTCTAGGACTTAGCGGCCCCCGCTTCAGACACACCCCTTCGGCTCCCGCTCCGCCTCCGGCGGGTCCCGAGCCCCGCCTTCTCTCTCCCGATTGGCCAAGGCGGAGGGGCGTGTCCCGCTCTGAAACCAGCTCTGTGGGTCGCTTTGCCTAGTCCTACCTTACAGTTCCAGCGATCTCTGCTGAAGTCGGTTGTTGGCCGGAGACGTGGGCATTGAAGGTTGTGTTCCAAATCCAAGAATTTAACTATTTTCGGCTGCCACTTGCTTCTTTTAAAAATATTAATTTTTTATAGTCTTCCTTAGATTTTGTTTGCAGGCACAGCTCTATGAATAAGTAGAAACAGCTATAGAATCCTATCGCTCCCATTTATACCTGGAAACTCCACTAGCAGAATGACAGGAACAGAATAAAGATTCTAATTTACATGACATATTTACGGATTTCGCTTATGGGAAATGAAGCATTTAGAATTTTCAGGGCTTTTTTTTTTTAATGGAATAAAAAACAAAACTTTAATGAAATTTTCTAAAAATACATGATCGTTGTAAAAATGTAAAGAAAGTAAAAATTTCTGCTAATATCAGCTCCCTAATTTAACCCTACTAGGGAGGATATACACACTTTCATACTTTTAATAGAACTTTAAATTTTATTTTTAGAAAGAGAACAAGTGCAAGCAGGGGAGAGGGATACAGGGAGAGAATCTTAAGCTGTCCCCATGCTCATGACCCTGGGATAACGACCTGAGCCAAAATCAAGGGTCAGATGCTCAACCAACTGAGCCAACCAGGTACCACCCATACTTTTTAATGTGTATTTTTACACTGCATATAATGTAATCCTGTTTATGCCATTGGTGAAATAAAACTATTCAAACATCAGCCAAGGAAAACATGATATAAGACTCTACCTGATCTTTAAAATCTCAGGAAATTTAGGGGTGTCTGGGTGGTTCAGTCGGTTGAGCGTCTGACTTTAGCTCAGGTCATGATCTCACAGTTTGTGAGTTGGAGCCCCCGCATCGGGCTCTGTGCTGACAGCTCGGAGCCTGAAGCCTGCTTTGGATTCTGTGTGTCTCTCTCTCTGCCCCTTCCCCACCCATTCTCTGTCTCTCAAAGATGAATAAATGTTAAACAAAAATTTTAAATCTCAGGAAATTTAAAAATTTCCTGAGATTCTGAGTTATTTATCAAGAGCCTTTTCTAGGCATTCATTTTCCTTTAACATTTTATCTTGAAAAATGTCAAACATAGGGAAATGTTGAAAGACTAGTATAATGAACATCAGTGTGGCCCTCACATCGAGTCATCAGTTGTTCATGTTATGCCATAGTTGCTGTGTGTGTGTGTGTGTGTGTGTGCGCGCATGCAAGTGTTCACACACATTTTTTTTTAACCAAACGTTTTGAAAGTTAGTTAAGGACATTATGAAACTTCATTCCAACTACTTCAATAGCTAAAAATAAGGACGTCCACACTGAGCATGGGGCCTACTTGAGATTCTCTCTCTCTCTCTCTCTCTCTCTCTCTCTCTCTCAGTCTCTCTATGTCCCTCATGTGTTCTCTCTCTCTCTCTCCATGAAATGAAATGAAATGAAATGAAATGAAATGAAATGAAATGAAATGAAATGAAATGAAATGAAATGAAACGAAATGAAATGAAAAAAGATAAAGACCCGGGCTCTGGAATTAGTCATGAAGGTTAGAATTCTGCATCTTACTAGGGGTATGATATTGGGCACTTTATTTAAATTCTCTAGGAGTCAGTTATCTCATCTGTAAAAATGGAACTGTTAATAGATCTAATTTCAGAGGGATTTTTGATTAAATGAAATAATGCATGTAATGCTCTCGGTACAGTGTTGCCTCTAAGCACTCAGAAAGGTTAGTCACCTTTTTTGTCTAAGTCAGGTTTATTAAAGTATTATTAACATACATAGTCACTGTTTTAATAGTATATTAAAATATTACATTATTCAAATAGTTCAGGAAGCCTTTTTTCTGGAAGTTGACATTTTTCAAAATAAAAAAGTTGGCGGGGGGTGGGGGGAGATGATGGTGCCCTTGGTAGGCTAACAGGCTTCATTGTGGGAATAATCTGTGATCACTCTGTGCAAACCAGAAGGGGGCAATGGTGTTAGGAAATAAAATTTTGAAGTTTGCAAGATTTTATAGGAGTGGGTTGGTAGAGGAGTGAGGTCAGGCTAGGAGGTGTGCTTCAATAGGAGACGGCAACTTCCAGGGATTAGAAAGAGTGGTAGAAAACAATGCTCTGTAGAAAGGCAAGTGAAAATTTAGAAAGAAGAAGAAGATTTAATTTTAGGCCTAGCCACGAAGCATAGTTATGTTTAGTACGTCCAGGGGAAAAGTTAGAAATAAAGAAAAATATATTGGGGCACGTGGGTGACTCTGCTGGTTGAGCATCCGACTTTGGCTCAGGTCATGATCTCACGGTTCATGAGTTCAAGTCCCATATCAGGTTCTCTGCTGTCAGCACAGAGCCTGCTTTGGATCCTTTGTCCCCATCTCTCTCTGTCTCTCCCTGTGGTTTTCTATCTCTGTCAAAATAAATAAATGAACTTAAGAAAAAAAAAGAAATAAAGAAAACTATATAATTGCCACTAATATATAATTGCCCCATAATATATAATTGCCATCTACTCAGGGAATATAAACAGAAACAATGGGTTAGGTAGTGGAATACAGTTCTGGGGAACTCTCTTCAAAATTCCAAAAGGAATTCTTATAGAACTCAGGCACAGATGAAATGTATGGGAAATTAAAACTTAGTCATTATCAGGGAAGATTGTTAAAATCTTATGTCCATATAAAATTCTAGTGTTGGTCAAAGCAGTTTAAATAAGCAAAGCCCCATAAAAGTAGTTATATTTATAAAGGTATGTGACATTTCATTGTTGCACGATTGAAATATTTTTAGTGGAAATTCTTGCATTTGTTTACCTATGAGGAATAAGAAGATAAAGAGAACCTGTTTTTCTGGCAAATGGTTCACCTTTAGATTTGGATCTAATTTCCAAAGATTTCCATCTTTCCTATAAATGTTGTCACCATCAACATTATTTCGAGCACAGTGCTTAGCTCGATCACAGATACTAAAGTGTTCATAATATCTCATTTTTTAACATCAATATGAAATATGT